ATAAGTGGCCAATTGGCCAGATACATCGAGATGTGCTACACTACATGAAACAGATGCAAATAAGCCATATTTGGGTTAGGAAACAATAGCCGATGCATAGTCGAGATGCTTGACTCGGTTATGCAATGTGGGCCTGACACCATTCAAGTCACATACCCCACCAACAGCATACATCTTGTGACCCTCCTGCCCCTCGCCACCCTTAGCCTCGACGCCGCCGTACGCAGCGTGATCCCTCGCCAACACGACCAGGGCGTGCCGCTAAATCTGCATGCTCGCCGCCCCGCCTGCGGAAGGGGCTGCAGCTGGTGTGCTACAGCGTCGCCGGCGGCACCTCGTAGAACCTCGACCCAAAGGATATTAAGTACCCCGCCGAACACCCCCACTACCTCGGCAAAACCAATAACAACCCCTTGTGAAATATGCCCTTCGTCTTCGACTGCGCTGAGTGACCTCTTTCGCTCTTCAGCGCTGGATCTGTCATGGCCCTAACCAAGCACGTCACCCCGCGCACCTACTCCGCCGTCACTTACGCCGACCTCGCCCGGACTATCGATGGAAGCGACGGCTCTACCGAGGAGCAGCGCAAGGCAAGCCTTCTGGGTAGCTGCGGTAGCAACGGCGGCCAGCTCGCCGTCATCGTCGACCCCGAGGACCCGTCGTACAAGACCCCCGAGTACATCGCCGCCGACATGAAGCCCGCCGACATCATCGTCAAGCTCGTGAGGGACCCCAGCGCCGGCTAAGGGCCGCGCAAAGGGGGCTCAGGGGACCTGGGATACTCCGCCCAAGTCTCTGCTGGGGGGGAACTAGTGAGAGAAACTCACATTCACAGACAACAATTCTTCTTTCTTCCCTTCTAACTTTTCTTCTTCGCAGTTTGCCGCCTAGAGGCGCACCTTATTAACTGCTATATAACTCTAATAGGGAAATTTTGTCGGATATGGCCATGGAGTCATTCGGACATGGTCGCGATGGAATGCAATGGTGCATGACTATTAACGTCTGCTGTGACTGATCAGAGACGTTGGGAATTAAGATGGGGCTGACTAATGATAGCATGTGGAGATAGTTGGATTGCGTGAG